AGGCAGCCCTGCCATCAGGCTCGTCCCGGTGCCGCTGGGCAGACTTGTGGGTGTTGGCGGGGTTTCACGAGCTGGCCAGGTGCTGCTTGCCCCGGTGTCGCAGCAGACCGAGGTTCCCAGATGGGGAAACTGAGGCACAGACTCCCTGTGGGGCAGAGCAGAGCCAGGAGATGGCACCAAGCTCTCAGCCAGCTCTGGAGACTGGCGTGTGGCCCGACAAATCCTCTTGCGAAACACGGACCCGAGCTGGCCCGTGACAGAGGGGCTGGGGTGTGTCAGGCGGGGGACTCATGCTGAAATTGCTGGCCTGGCTGAAAAGCCCCTCGCCAAGCAGCAAGGGACAGGCTGGATGTTGCCCCAGCCTCCACTCACCTCGCATTTCCCCGAGCTCAGCAGGTCTGCGGTGCAGCTGCAGCTCAGTGTCAGCAAAAAGCAGGTGGAGGGGAGCTGGGTGCCTGTCTGCTGGTGTCGGGGTACCCTGCTGCGCTGGGGGTGTCCTGGGGGCAGGCAGCCACCCACCCAGGGGCTGGTGTCCCCTCCCCGTGCAGATGATCCCTAAAGAGGGGGGAGATCCTCACCAAAACAGACTGGGGGGGACTTGTGCCACAGCCTGTGCTTATCCAACATTGCCCTCTGTGCTGCTTTGAATACCCAAAGGAGAGGGTTTGTGCCCCAAAACTGTGGCTGGGGGGGGGAGCGGGGGGGGGTGGTGTCCTTAGCCTGTGATCCAGCGTCTTTTATGGGTCCTGTGTCCCTTAGCCCTCAAGGCTTCACGTACAGAAGAGGGGAGGGGTCGGGTTGACCCCCTGCCACGCTGTTGTGGTCTCACCAGTGGGAGATGGTGCTACCCGGCTGGCTCCGGATGGGTGCGGGGACACTGGATCGCAGGGCTGTGCAACACAGTGGTGTCCATTTCCTCTCCTGTCACTCAGGGCTGGGAGCCGGGCCAGGAGCTGCCGGCAGGGTGGGCAGCTGCTACAGTGTCTCCTTCCCCACGGATGTCCTGTCCCCGGACCTGTCACCTCGGAGGGCTGGTGGTCCAGCGGACAGCCCTGGGCTGGCTCTTAGGGTGTGCTTCGGCTCCCTGTGGCTTCCTGCTCTAACCACCACCCTCTCCTCTGCCTCGTAGGTGGGCCGATAACTTCAGCGCGGCCGGCTGCAGCGGGACGGAGGAGCACGGCTTCCAGCACCCCTTCCTGCAGGTGAGCCCCCTCCCCGAGCAGGACAGGCCTTCCCAGCAGGGCCAGCCCCCCTCACCCCCCTCTCTTGCAGGCCGTGGGCATGTTCCTGGGGGAATTTTCCTGCCTGGGGGTGTTTTACCTGCTGGTGTGGAGGGATCGGTGGAGGCCGGAGCCCAGCATGGCCCCGTCGCAGCCCTTCAGCCCGCTGCTCTTCCTGCCCCCTGCCCTCTGCGACATGACGGGGACCAGCATCATGTACGTGGGTAAGTGCTGAGGACAGGGATTCCACCTCCATCCTCCCTTGCCCCGTGGGGACCTGGCCATCCCTGGAGCCAGACTCGGGTGTTGGGCTGCAGGACTCCATGGTGCATTTGGTTTTGGGGGTGGAATGACCCCGAAACCGGGTGGAGGGGTCTGACAAAACAGTTCCCACCCATGCAGCGAGCTGTGGCAGGGCTCAGTAAGCCGTGTTCCTCAGTGGGCACGGAGTTCCTGTGGAGCACAGACGTGGGGCTGCGTGTTGGCACAAGCCTCTCTGCTGCCAGCTCTAAGTAGAAGTGAGGGGAACAGTGTTGCTGCCTCTTCCTCCAATTAATCACTGATCTGCTTTTAATTACCACAGCAGACCATTAAGCAGAGGGGTTGGTGGCATTAGCCAGCTCCAGCAGCACTCGCAACTCATGGGTCTGTTTCTCCCCACGTAGCCTTGAACATGACTAGTGCCTCCAGCTTCCAGATGCTGCGAGGATCCGTCATCATCTTCACCGGGCTCCTCTCCGTGGCCTTCCTGGGCCGCAAGCTGGAGCTGAGCCAGTGGCTGGGCATCCTGGTCACCATTGTGGGGCTGGTGGTGGTGGGGCTGGCTGACCTGCACAGCTCCCATGACCAAAAACGCAAGCTCAGCGAGGTGATAACCGGTACGTGGTGGCCCTTGAGGGAGGTGGGATGGCCACGGAGGGGGAAATAACCCCCTGAAGGGTGAGTGCCCTGCTCTCTGAGCATGACTCTGCTGTGCTGCCCATCCGGTGGGCAGGGAGATGGTGTCTCAGCCTCCCTTTCCTCCTATCCCCTCCCTCCTCTCTCCTCCCCGCAGGCGACCTGCTCATCATCATGGCACAGGTGATCGTCGCCATCCAGATGGTGCTGGAGGAGAAGTTTGTCTACAAACACGACGTGCATCCGCTGCGGGCCGTCGGCACCGAAGGTCTGTCCCAGTATTGTCCGGGGCGGGCTGAGCGCTCAAGGGGTGCCTGATCCTGCCAACCTCACCTGGCAAGAGCTGCTTTGTGCAGGGCAGGACTACAGGCTGCAAAGGGGGTGCTGCTGGGGGGGTTGGGTCCCACAGGGCAGGGGGTGGTGCTTGGAGCCAGCACCCATCTGACACCTGCTCGCCTCCAGGTTTCTTCGGCTTTGTCATCCTGGCCCTGCTGCTGGTGCCCATGTACTACATCCCGGCGGGCAGCTTCAGTGGGAACCCTCGGCGGACTCTGGAAGACGCCCTTGATGCCTTCTGCCAGATCGGCCACCGGCCCCTCATCGCCCTGGCCCTGCTGGGTAACATCAGCAGCATCGCCTTCTTCAACTTCGCCGGCATCAGCGTCACCAAAGAGATCAGTGCCACCACCCGCATGGTGCTGGACAGCCTCCGCACCCTCGTCATCTGGGCCGTCAGCCTGGCCGTGGGCTGGGAGACCTTCCACGGCCTGGAGATCCTGGGATTTGGAGTGCTGCTGGCAGGCGCTGCACTGTACAATGGCCTG